ACAATTTTTCAATAGCGCCATATTCTAAGTACGACTATTCGTAATTAGGAAATATAAATAAATAAAAATGCTATATCTTCATTGTTTTGTTACTTTATAATAATTGGTGTAATGGATGAGCCTACAAATCGCTGCACATTTTGCGGCGCACAGTTTGGGAATCACTGCTTTACTGGGTTGTTCGCGTCTCGGTTCTCTTCAGCGTCATGTTCCGGGTCTTGTGGAGGTGATTGTGTCGACGGGTTCAACCGTCGCGTGACCTGCACTGCCGTTGCCCCAGTGCACGAAAGTGGGAGGGGCGGGGCCTTGAAGAAGGACTAATAATGACTTCGCACTGCGATGAGATCATCTCACCTTGGACAGGACCTTCACTCGGTTGGCCTGATTGCCATTCATATTCTCCTCCCCACTCGGGTTGTCACTGCACATATCCTGACTGACTGACTGTCTGTCTGTGTGTATGTGTGTGTGTGTGTGTTAAAATGAAGGTCAGGAGGTGTGCAGGTGTGCAGGTGAAGCGTAAGTCGTGTCGGGGCATGTAGAGCAGACGATGCGATGCTCTTGGCGTGAGTGGGCGCATGAAGCGGAGCCGGCTGAGACTCGAAGGTAGCAGAATTGTTGGTGCGAGTGTTTGGTTGGTTGTGTCGCTGCCAGGACCGGCCACAACGAGGAGAGTCTATTATAGGCGGTCGCCGAACCACCGTCAGTCGGTGCGTGGTGAGAAGGAGGTGCACGTTGAGTGTGCACGTTGCTACACGTCGGCGAGTGAGTCAGGCGGGCCAATGGAGAAGCGTGGGCGTGGCTTCCGCGAGGGTCACGACTCGAGACAGACCAACGCACGTAGGCCTCCGAAGGAGGCGCCGGTCTGGACGCCTACGAAGGCTGACGCAGACAGTCAGGACAACAGCCCGGTCTGACGCGTGTGAATGCGTGTGTTCGTGGGTGTTGCTGCTGAGCGCACACGAGAAGGAGCCAATTGACGCCCACAGAGTGAAAGAGTTCCAAATTCTTGAATGGCCGGAACAAAAAGAAGCGACGACAGAGAAAGCTCGTAAAGGGAGAGGATGACAGGCGGTAATCAGCATCGGCATTACTGGCATAATCTGATGGACGAGTTCGATACCAGTCAAGGGAACG